CGTTTGACCTGAATGTCCCCTGAAAGCATGGTCCTCAGATCCCCACCCCTGCTACTCTGTCCCTCAAAGTGTTTAATCGTATTCAGGAAACTTCTTAGCGTTGGTTTAGTACAGTTGTGCTGACTTGCCCTGTAGTGTGTGCTGTCCCTCCCTTCACCTAAGACAATTCTTATCTACTATCTAGTTAGTGAATAACCCACACCCCCCACACCCTCCCTCTCCACCCTCGTAACCATCAAAGAATGTTTCCTTCTGTGTTTAAACCTTTTCTTGAGTTTTTATGATACTGGTCTTACACACTATTTGCCCTTCTGTGACTGACTAAATTCACTCAGCATAAAGCCCTCCAGATTCCTCTATGTTATAAGATGTTTCACGGCTTCATCCTTGTTCTTTATCGTTGCATATTATTCCATTGTGTTGATATACCATAATTTGTTCATCCATTTGTCCGTTGATGGGCACCTAAGTTGTTTCCATCTTTTTGCTATTGTGAACAGTGCTGCAGTGAACATGGGTGTGCATATATCTATTCGTGTGACAGCACTTATTTCTCTAGAATATATTCCAAGGAGCGGGATAGCTGGATCGTATGGTACTTCTATTTCTAGCTTATTAAGAAGGCGCCAAATCGATTTCCAAAGTGGTTGTACCATTTTACATTCCCACCAACAGTATATAAGTGTTCCATTCTCTCCACAACCTCTCCAGCATTTATTATTTTGTGTTTTTTGGATTAATGCTAGCCTTGTTGGGGTGAGATGATATTTCATTGTAGTTTTGATCTGCATTTCTCTAATGGCCAGTGATCGTGAGCATTTCTTCATGTGTCTGTTAGCCGCCTGAATATCTTCTTTGGTGAAGTGCCTGTTTATATCCTTTACCAATTTTTTTAATTGAGTTATTTGTCTTTTTGTTGTTGAGGTTTTGCAGTATCTTGTAGATTTTAGAGATTAGATGCCGATTGGATTTGTCATAGCCAAAAATTTTTTCCCAGTCTGTAGGTAGTCTTTTGACTCTTGGTGAAGTCTTTTGATGAGCATAAGTGTTTGATTTTTTGGAGCTCCCAGTTATCTAGTCTCTCTTCTGGTGCTTATGCATTGTTACTTATGGTTCATATTCTGTTTATGCCATGTATTAGGGCTCCTAGCATTGCCCCTATTTTTTTTTCCATGATATTTATCATTTTCAATTTTATATTTAGGTCTTTGATCCATTTTGAGTTAGTTTTTGTACATGGTGTGAGATATGGGTCTTGTTTCAGTTTTTTGCATATGGATATCCAGTTATGCCAGCACCATTTGTTAAAGAGACTATCTTTTCCCCAATTAACAGACTTTGGGCCTTTGTCAAATATCAGCTGCTCATTGGTCTACGTATCTGTTGTTGTACCAGTACCAGGCTGTATTGACTACTGTTGTGGTATAATAGGTTCTAATATTAGGTAGTGTGAGGCCTCCCACTTTGTTCTTCTTCTTGAGTAATGCTTTACTTATCTGGGGTCTCTTCCCTTTCCATATGAAGTTGGTGATTTGTTTCTCCATCTCATTAAAAAATGCTGTTGGAATTTGGATCAGTATTGCATTGTATCTGTAGATTTCTTTGGGCAGAATTGACATTTTCACTATGTTGAGTCTTCCTATCCATGAGCAAGGTATGCTTTTCCACTTATGCAGGTCTCCTTTGGTTTCTTGCAGTAGTGTCTTGTAGTTTTCATTGTGTAGGTCTTTTATGTCTCTGGTTAGATTTATTCCTAAGTATTTTATCTTCTTGGGGGCTATGGTAAATGGTATTGATTTGGTAATTTCCTCTTCAGAGTTCTCTTTGTTAGTGTAAAGGAATCCGACTGATTTTTGTATGTTTATCTTGTATCCTGAAACTTTACTGAAATCTATTAGTTCCAGTAGTTTTCTTGTGGATTCTTTGGGGTTTTCTGCAAAATATCATCTGCAAATAGAGATACTTTGACTTCTTCTCTACCAATTTGGATGCTCTTTATTTCTTTTTCTAACCTAATTGCTCTGGCTAGGACCTACAGCACAATGTTGAGTAAGAGTCGTGATAGAGGGCATCCTTGTCTGGTTCCTGTTCTCAGGGGGAATGCTTTCAAAGTCTCTCCATTTAGGATGATATTGGCTGTTGGCTTTGTATAAATGCCCTTAATTATATTGAGGAATTTCCCTTCTATTTCAGTTTTGTTGAGAGTTTTTATCATGAATGGGTATTGGACTTTGTCAAATTCCTTTTCTGCATCGATTGATAAGATTCTGTGGTTCTTGTCTTTTGTTTTATTAATGTGATGGGGTACATTGATAGTTTTTCTAGTGTTGAACCATCCCTGCATACCTGGTATAAATCCCACTTGATCATGGTGAATTATTTTTTTCATTGTATTGCTGAATTCTGTTGGCTAGAATTTTGTTGAGGGTTTTTGCATCAATGTTCATGTGGGATATTGGTCTGTAATTTTCTTTTTTTGTGGTGTCTTTACCTGGTTTTGGTGTCAGGGTTATGCTGGCTTCATAGAATCAGTTTGGGAGTGTTCCATCCTTCTATGCTCTGAAATACCTTCTTAACTCTTCTCCAAAAGTTTGGTAGAATTCTCCAGTGAAGCCATCCGGGTCAGGGCTTTTTTTGTGTTGGGAGTTTTCAAATTACCTGTTCAATCTCTTCTTTTGTTATGGGTTTATTTAGTTGTTCTACCTCTGTTTGTGTTAGTTTAGGTAGATAGTGATTTTCTAGAAATTTGTCCATTTCCTCTAGGTTTTCAAATTTGTTAGAGTATAATTTTTCATAGTATTCTGTTATGATTCTTTTAATTTCAGTTGGGTCTGTTGTGATATCACCCATCTCATTTCTTATTAAGGTTATTTGCTTTCTCTGCTGTTTTTCTTTTGTCAGTTTGGCCAGTGGTTTATCAATTTTGTTGATCTTTTCAAAGAACCAGCTTTTGGTCTTGTTAACTCTTTTAGTTGTTTTTCTGTTCTCTATTTCATTTAATTCTGCCCTACTTCTTTTTATTTGCCGTTTTCTGGCACCCAGTGGCTTCTTTTGCTGCTCTCTTTCTACTTGTTCCAGTTGTAGGGTTAATATTTTGATTATGGCCCTTTCTTCTTTTTGGATGTGTGCTTTATTGCTATAACTGACCTCTGAGCACTGCTTTTGCTGTGTGCCAAAGGTTCTGGGAGGATGTGTTTTCATTTTCATTTGGTTCAATGAATTTCTTTATTCTGTCCTTAATTTCTTCTGTAACCCAGTAGTTTATGAGCAAGGTGTTGTTCGCTTTCCATGTGTTTGTTTTTTTTTTTTTCCTTTTTCTGTTATTGATTTCTACTTTTATGGCTTTATGGTCAGAAAAGATGCTTTGTAATATTTCAGTGCTTTGGATTTTGTTAAGGCTTGCTTTATGGCCTAATTGTGGTCTGTTCTGGAGAATGTTCCACGTGCATTGGAAAGGAAAGTATATTTGGCAGCTGTTAGGTGGAGTGTTTGGTATGTATCTATGAGATCAAGATGGTTGATGGTATCATTTAGATCTTCCATGTCTTTGTTGAGCTTCTTTCTGGATGTTCTGTCCTTCACCGAAAGTGGTTTGTTGAAGTTTCCTACTAGTATTGTGGAGCTGTCTATCTCTCTTTTCAACGCTGGTAGAATTTGTTTTATGTATTTTGGAGCCCTGTTGTTGGTGTGAAAATATTTATTACAGTTATGTCCTCCTGGTGTATTGACCCTTTAATCATTAGGTAGTGTCCTTCCTTATCCTTTGTGGTGGATTTTACTTTAAAGTCTATTTTGCCAGAAATTAATATTGCCACTCATGCTCTTTTTTGTGTGTTGTTTGCTTGATATATTTTTTCCCATCCTTTAAGTTTTAGTTTGTTTGTGTCGTTAAGTCTAAGGCGTGTCTCTTGTTGGCAGCATATAGACGGATCATGTTTTTTTAATCTAATCTGCCACTCTCTGTCTATTTATTGGTGCATTTAGTCCATTTACTTTCAGCATAATTATTGCTAGATATGAGTTTAGTGCTGTCATTTTGATGTCTGTTTTTTTGTGTTGACAGTTTCTTTATTCCACTTAATTTTCTGTGCTGATTTTTATGTATTTTCTTTTCATCTTTTTCATTGTTGATTTTATATTTCCTGAGTCTTTATATTTTTCTTGTTTTTTATTTTGTGAGTCTTCCTCGTTAACATAACTGCTTCTAATCCTGCCTCATTAATATCATAGAGGTAGGATTCACAACACAGAGGAGTATCATGTCAGATGACAAAATGGTGGACAGTCACACAGTACTGGGAATCATGGGCTAGCCAAGTTGACACATATTGTAGGGGGTACAATTCAATCCATGACAGCTGCCAAAAATTTATACTGTTAATCTTTATCCCAGTCTTCTCCGAAAAGGATTTACGGCCTTTTCGTCTTCATTGGGGAAAAGGAAATAATCAGATGTTTCAGGCATTACTGGATACTGGCTCTGAACTGACACTAATTTCAGGAGACTCAAAGTCAGGTTATTATTGGAGGGTTAGCTCATGTCCATCTCACAGTGGGTTCAGTGGGTCTCTGAACCCATCCTATGGTCATTTCCTCATTTCCAAAATACATAATTTAAATAGATATATTCAGCAACTGACAGAGCTCTCTCATTGGATCCCTGATGAGAGGAGTAAGGGTTATTATGGTAGAAGAGGCTAAGTGGAAGCCATTAGAAGTGCCCCTACTAAGGAAATTAGTAAACCAAAAGCAATACCACATTCCTGGAGGGATTCCCACCACATCCCCGTTCAACCTGCCCGTTTGGCCTGTATGAAAAAGTAGTGGATGTTGGAGAATGACAGTGGATTATTGAAGACTTAAGCAGATGGCAACTCTAATTACAGGTGCTGTTCCAGATGTGGTTTCATTGCTTGAGTGAATTAATACATCTCCTGGTACCTGGTATGCAGTTATTTATCTGGCTAATGCCTTTTTCTCCATACCGGTTTTGAAGGACCACCAGAAGCAGTTTGCCCTCAGCTGTCAAGGCCAGCAATACACCTTCACTGTCCTACCTCAGGTATATATGACTCTCCAGCCCTGTGTCATACTTCAGTCAGCAGGAATCTTGATCAGCTTTTGCTTCCACAAGATATCACACTAGTCTATTACATTGATGACATTATGTTGGTTGGACCTAGTAAGGAAGAAATGTCAAAGCCTTTGGACTTATTGGTAAAACATTTGTGTGATAGAGGGTGGAAAATTAATCCCACAAAAATTCAGGTGCCTTACGTCTCAGTGAAATTTTAGGGGTCCGGTGGTGTGTGGCATGCTGAGATATTTCGTTTAAAGTGAAGGATAAGTTATTACATCTGGCCCCTCCCACAACTAAAAAGGAGACACAACGCCTGGTGGGCCTCTTTGGATTTGGAGGCAATATATATCTAATTTGAGTGTGCTACTCCAGCCTATTTATCAAGTGATTCAAAAGGCTGCTAGTTTTGAGTGGGACCAAGTGCAAGTGGCCCAGCCACTTGGGCTATATGATCTAGCTGATCCAATGGTGCTTGAAGTGTCAGTGGCAGATAGGGATGCCCTTTGGAGTCTTTGGCAGGACCCTATTGGTGAATCACAGTGCAGACTTTTAGGATTTTGGAGCAAAGCCCTGCCATCCTCTGCAGATAACTCTTCTCCTTTTGAGAAACAGCTTTTGGCTTGTTACTGGGCCTTAGAGACTGAATGCTTAACCATGGGCCAAAAGTCACCATGCGGCCGGCTGGCCCATCATAAACTGGGTGCTGTCTGACCAACAGAGTCATAAAGTCGGATGTGTACAGCAGCACTCCATCATTAAATGCAAGTGTTATATACGAGATCAGGCCCGAGCAGGTCCTGAAGGCACATATAAGTTGTGTGAGGAAGTGGCCCAAATGCCCATGGTCTCCACTTCTGTCACATTACCTACCCTCTCCCAGTCTGCACCTATGGCCTCATGGGGAGTTCCTTATCATCAGTTGACTGAGGAGGAGAAAATGTGTGCCTGGTTTACAGATGGTTCTGCATGATATTCAGGCACCACTCAACAGTGGACAGTGGCAGCACTACAGCCCCTTTCTGGGACCTCCCTGAAGGACAGTGGTGAAGGGAAATCCTCCCAATGGGCAGAACTTTGAGCAGCGCACCTGCTTATTCACTTTGCTTGAAAGGAGAAATGGCCAGATGTGTAATTGTAGACTAATTCATGGGTTGTGGCACATGGTTTGGCTGGATGGTCAGGGACTTGGAAGGGACATGATTGGAAAATTGGAGGCAGGTAGGTATGGGGAAGAGGTTTGTGGATAGACTTGTATGAATGGGCCATAGAAATGCAGATACTTGTGTCTCATGTGAATGCTCATCAAAGGGTGGCCTTGGCAGAGGAGGATTTTAACAGTCAGTTGGATAGGAAGATGTGTTCTGTGGGAACCAATCATCCTCTTTCCCCAGCCACTCCTGTCATTTCCCAGTGGGCTCATGAACAAAGTGGCCATGGTGGCAGGGATGGAGGTTATGCATGGAATCAGCCATATGAGCTTCTACTCACCAAGGCCGACTTGGCTATAGCCACTTCTGAGTGCCCAATCTTGCCAGTAGCAGAGACCAGTTCTCAGTGTCCGATATGGCACCATTCCTCAAGGTGATCAACCAGCATCCTGGTGGCAGGTTGATTACATTGGACTGCTTCCATCATGGAAAGGGCAGTGTTTTGTTCTTACTGGAACAGACACTTATCTGGATATGGATTTGCCTTCCCTTGACACAATGCTTCTGTCAAAACTACCATCTGTGGACTTACAGAGACTTATCCACCATCATGGTATCCCACACAGCATTGCCTCAAATCTAGGGACTCACTTCACAGCAAATGAAGGGTGGAAGTGGGCCCATGCTCAGGAATCATTGGTCTTACCATGTTCCCCATCATCCTGAAGCATCTGGCTTGATAGAAACATGGAATGGCCTTCCAAAGACACAATTATGGTGCCAGCTAGGTGGCAGTAACTTGCAGGGTTAGGGGAGTGTTTTCCAGGAGACTGTATATGCCCAAAACCAGCGTCCAATATATGGTGCTGTTTCTCCGATAGGCAGGATTCATGGGTCCAGGAATCAAGGGGTGGAAATGGGAGTGGCACCACTCACTATTACCCATAGTGACCCACTTGCAAAATTTTTGCTCCCTGTCCCTGTGACCCTATGTACTGTGGGTCTAGAGGTCTTAGTTCCAAACTGAGGAATGCTCCTACCTGCAGACACATCACTAATTCCTTTGAACTGGAAGTTAAGAATGCCACCCAGCCACTTTAGGCTCCTTATGCCTCTGGATAAACAGGCAGAGAAAGGAGTTACTATATTGGCTGGTGTGATTGATCCTGATTACCAAGAGAAATCTTACTGATATTACATAATGGAGGTAAAGAAGAATATGTCTGGAATGCAGGAGACCCCTTAAAACGTGTCTTAGTACTACCAAGCCCTGTGATTAAAGTCAATGGAAGACTACAGCGACTCAATTCTGACATGACTACTCATGGCCCAGACCCTTCAGGACTGAAGGTTTGTGTCACCCCACCAGGTAAAGAACCACAACCAGTTGAGATGCTTGCTGAGGGTAAAGGGAATATGGAATGGGTGGTGGAAGAAGGTAGTTCTGAATACCAGCTATGACCACATGACCAGTTGCCGAAACGAGGACTGTAATTGTATAAGTATTTCTTCCTTGTATGTGTGCATCAAATATATATATGTATGTATGTATATATGTTTATATATTTATATATGTGCTTCACTGGTTTTGCTTCTTTAAAACACCCTGTGTATGACCATTTTGCCATTCCAATAGACTTAAAGGGAACCAATCCTAGAAGTGGAGGGGAGACCTCACTACCATCAAGAAGAAGAGCCAGGAGCAGAATGCATCCTTTGAAACCATAGTCCCAGTGCTGAGAACCTATGAACCTCCATGACCCAGGAGAGAGAGCAGTAACACCGTAGGTGGCAGTGGCACCGTACAGCAGGAACCAGGAGACTGGCATGAGATGGCGTGGGGGGCTTCCCAGTGCACAGAGGGAGGGTGGAACTGTGGGCTTCCAAGCCCACTGAATGAGAGACCTGAGTTCCTTGGGGCAGGAGGCTTGCTAGCTGAGTGGAGTTCCTCTGGGCACTTGTTGGCGGAGCTAGGCTTACCAACCCATGAATCGATAGAGCTGAGTGCTTTCAGACAGGAGGCTTCCCGGTGGAGTTGCGTATCTCTGAGCACTTACTTGCAGAGCTAAAGAGCTTGGTAACACTTGCTGGAGCAGGTCACAGGCCAGCCCAAGAGCCAAGGGTCGAGAGGCCTACCTATGGGCATGGTAAAGAAAAAGCTGTCTTGATCGAATAGCTGTATCCTGAGTTGTTCCTGTTACTTTCAAGTTCATCCTTATCCTGAATTGTTGCCTGTTATTTCTCTAGTGGACTCCATAATTGTGATTATGTTCTGTGAGTTTTGTGTGGCCATTGCAACAAATTATCAATTATTTGATAATTCATAGAGACGTAGAGAGTGCTGTAGGAGGGATGGTTGGTGTCAGAGTTGATAAAAAGGTTGGAGAGAGGTGGTATGTCTGACCTCCACCTCATGGGACTCAGCTTTGGGTTGATATTGGTTCTCTTCTCTCTCCCTGAAGTTAGAGGATGTCTGATGCCACAACATTTTTACAACTGAAAAAGGGCATATATGAAAAACCCACAGCTTGCATTATACTTAATGGTGAAAGACTAAATGCTTTCCTCCTCAGATCAGGAACAAGAAAAGCAAGTCCCCTTTCACCACTTCTATTCAGTATTATCCCGGAGGTTCTAGCCGGAGTAATTAGACAAGAAGCAGAGAGAAAAAAAAAAATCTAGATTGGAAAGGAGGAAGTAACATTGTCTCTATTATTTTACATGTCATCTTATATATGTCTCTATACATCTTTATATGTATACAGAAAGTTCTAAAGAATACACAAGAAAGCTATTGTTAATTGCCGTCAGGTTGATTCCAACTCATGGTGACCATGTGTGTGCAGAGTAAAACTGTGTTCCATTGGGTTTTTCAGGTTGTGACCTTTTGGAAGCAGATCACCACGGCTGCCTTCTAAGGTGCCTCTGGGTGGGTTCAGACTGCCAACCTTTCAGTTAATAGTCAAACACTTAACTGTTTGCACCCCCCAAGGGAACCTAGAAAACTATTACAACTAATAAACGACTTTAGAAAGGTTACAGGAGACAAGATTAATATGCAAAAATCAATTGTATTTGTATACACTAGCAATGAAAAATCTTGAAAAGAAGAAAAGAAATCCATTTACAATAATATAAAAAAATAAGATACTTAGGAACAACTTAACTGAAAGAATTGTAAGACTTGTACACTAAAACCACAAGACAAAGTTAAAAGAAATTAAAAAAGATGGACAGACATTCCATATACATGGTAATATTGTTAATATGATCTACAAATCTGATGCAATCCCTATCAAAATTTCAGCTGACTTTTTTGTTATAAATTGACAAGTTGATCCATAATGCATATGAAAATACATGGCATCCAAAATAGCCGAAATGATTTTGAAAAAGAAGACCAAAGTTGGAGATTTCATATTTTTTGATATCAAAACCAGAAAACTAAACCAAACCTGTTGCCATCGACTTGGTTCTAATTCATAGCAACTCTTTAGAAAGAGTAGAACTGCACCATAAGGTTTCCAAGGCTGTAATCTTTACAGAAGCAGACTGCCACATCTTTCTCCCATGGAGTGGCTGGTGGGTTCACACTGCCCACCTTCTGGTTAGCAGATGAGTGATTAACCACTGTACCACCAGAGCTCCCCCTGATATCAAAACTTACTATAAGGCAAAGTGGTGCTCTAGGCAGAAGCACCACGCCGTCCCTCCACAGCAAAGATCGGAAAAACTAAGCCGAACAGAGAATACAACAGTCCTGAAACCCTAAAACATCAAATGAAGAGATAAAGAACTCAGCCAAGCATCAAATGGAGTGAGAAAACTGACAGAGAACGGAGAGAGAGGAGAGATCCATGCAGAGGTCCCCAACCAGCTAATGCAGCGCGGATCCACCATCTTGGACTCCTATCGGAGACCAGCAAACGGGGGTACGAGAAAGCAGCCTCACGGAG